CCAGCCTTATTTAAGATACTTCAATAATGTACAATGGCAAAAGATCGTTTTTTTACTTCTAAAATAAAAGAACTTGTAAGTTGGAATTTGTATTTTATCGATATTGGAATAAAACATACAGATATACATTGAAGTAGAGAAATTTCAAGTTAGAGAAAATTAAATCTTTTACTGACCCTAATGGATCCTTGATGTCCTCTGTTTTTCGAGAACAGAGTCTAAAATACCTCTGGTTGGTAGTACAAGGGTTAAAATTGATTACAAGTTGAATAGTCGATGAACATAGATTCGAAATTAATATATCTGATTAATAGTAGATTAAAGTCGTGACATTTTAGTCTAGTTTAAGTTCAAAAACGTTGACTAAAATCAGACTTTTCACGGTTCTTTTTACACGAATCTCGTACTCGAAGAATTGTTGAGGGCCAGTTTCGGTCCGTATCCAGTATTTCGGAACCATCGTCAATATTACTTCCATAGTGTTCATCATCTCGGCTCTAATCTCAATCTACTTTCTCTATAAAATTCCTTAGAAGCTCTTCGAAAAATGCGAATTTCCTGGGAAGTCCCTAAATTATATGAAATCCTCAGGAAGTCCTTGCTGATTTCCTGAGAAATCTCTGGAAAGCGCTCGAATTTTAAAAAGTACAGAAAAAGAAAAAACTCTCTGAAACTCTCTATTGAGCCTACAAGGACTCCTGAGAACTCTCAGAAAAATTTGACCCTCATGTGTACTATGTTCATAAGTCCACAAGAAATTAGAGTTATTCCAGTCTAACAAATCATCTATAAATCTCATCAACTCTTGCCGTTTTATTACTCGTACTTCTTTTGGTCTTTTTGTTCCTTTTATCTCCTTTACTTCCTTCAGTCTCTTCAACATCTTCAAGATATTAAAGGGTCGAAATAAGTAAAGAGAGTAAAATATCTAAGGGGATCTCTCTGAAAATTTGCATAAAGTCTTTCAAAAATCCATCGAAGAATCCCTGTCGTGATTTCCGTAGAAGATTTTGGAGAACTTTTCGGCAACTCCCTAGGGTTTTCTTTTCAGGGAAAGTGAACGATAGAGCCTTCGCCGCACAAAATTACTAAAGACAATCTGTGTAATCAGGGATGTCCCAAGCGAGAGAAGTCACTTCTTCCCTAATCTTCGAAAATTTTGTTTTTCTTTGCTCGATGATTTAGAAAGATTTCTGACATTTTTTTTAAATTTCGATAATCTTTGAAAGCGTTTAGAAAATATCGCCAACCCCTCCTCCCTCTCAACTTTTGCCACTTTTAAACACCGTTGACGTAATTCGTTCGGTAACACTCGATTTTTTTTGGTCTATCAAGACTTCTTCAATGCATTTGACATGCGACAACAAGCTAGAATATGGCCATTAATCTAATAGTATTTATTAGATCGAGTATCGCAAAATATTTGTATACTTTTAATGTTACATAAATCTCGCGAGGAAATCTCTCCAATTGTCAAATCACTTTTGGGTTTGAACTCTGTGTATAAGGTACACCCTGGTGAAGTATGAAAAACTCCAAAAAGGTAAATGTCGGTAGGCTGTCAATCCAGAATTATAGCCATTTTACTGAAACTTTAGCTTCAGGTGTGATATATGTCAGAAAATCGAATGGCGATATTTCAGTCTAACATTTTACCCATTGATAGTTCTATTCCTGAGTAGTATGTCCTATAACATTTCAACTCAAAAGAAAATTTTGCTTCTCAAGATATTAAATTCCAAAAAATCACTTATATACTACCAGAGATGCTAGAATTATCTGTGTTTTCGGATCTTTAATATCTTGGAAAGAAAACGTTCTTTTCAGCTGAAATCTTTGAGACATTTTAGTCACAAATAGATTTGTCTATGGCCAAAACTTCAGTAAAATGGCTATAAATCTGGACAGAAATCCTACGGGTCCTTATTCTTTTGGAGTTTTTCATACTTCACTAGGACTCTACCTTATAAACAGAGTCCGCATTCAAAAGCGATTGGACAGTTGAAGAAGTTCTCTCATCAGCTTCAGAAAACGATAAAACCTTGATGTTTTTCAAAAGATGCGCTGCCGAAAGCTGTGCAAAAACTGTATGAACAAAGTTCTACTGCAAAATAAAAAAGATTTTCCAAACATTTTTATTATTTTTTAAATACGGTGGAAAGCACCACTAATATATAGATGTCTCATTTTGATTATAGAAAATATCATCAGAACATGATAGGAATTTGTTCCGACATTCTTTGTAGAGCTTTTCATGGTACATTTTTTGAAAAAAAACCACGATTTTATCGGTTTCTGAAGCTAAGATATATGCAAAATAAAAAATATGCAAATATGTTGAGACATCGGTATTTCGTCCGTTACCATTTGTTCCACATCCTCGTCGCAATTACACTTTGTCCCGAACTGTAAATTTTCTTTTTTTTACAGCAATGTGATATAAAGTTTATTTGAATAAATTTAAATCCTTATTTTTAAATTCATAACAGTTCGAGTTAAATATTCCTAGATATTGTTGACATTATAAATTTGTGCAACTCTTTTTATTCGATTCTTCGTCATGGGCGAACATATGGAGCCAAAAATCGTTTTCCTTTGGTGTCATCCGCGTTCTATCTCGACTGCGTTTGAACGTGCATTTATGCAACGGCAAGATTATGTTACAATTCATGAGCCATTTGGCGAACCATTCTATTTTGGTCCGGAACGTATTTCAAATTACTTTAGCGGTGAACACTGTGCACAACATGAGCATGCAAATACAACTTATGGTATGGTTGTCAACGAGATTCTCAATACCGCTAGCAATAAGAAGAAGGTTTTTGTTAAAGATATGGCATACTATGTGATAAGAAAAGACTATAAATCGCATCATTCAGACAACCCAACTGTTCTGCCGATTGACTTTCTCAAACGTTGCTATCATACGTTTCTCATACGTACACCAGAAAAGGCTCTGCCCTCATTTTACCGTTGCTGCACAAGTGGTCAATGTGGCAATTATGATCGATTCTCTGTTGATGACATTGGCTTTAGTGAACTCCAAGTCTTATTCGAATTTCTAACCAAGCTCAACAACAATCGTCCAGTTTTGATCGATTCAGCTGATCTTATCTCCGAGCCTGAAGCAGTTATGAAAAAGTACTGTGAAGCTGCGATTGGAGATCGGTTTGAACCTAGTATGATCGAATGGAAAGCAGAAAAGGTCGTGGCTTTCGATAAATGGGCAGGCTTTCATGATGTTGCACAGCAGAGTACCGGATTCAACACACAGATCAAGGCAAAGACAGACGACGACGATAATGATCGTAATGTTAATTTACCTGATTTTATTCGAGAGGCGATCAAGCAAAACATGCCCATTTTCGAAACATTGCGAAAATTTAAGATGCTTGTTTGAACGAAACAGAGGTCATTTTTAACTCTTTCTGGATGAATGATACACCATATGTATCACAGGCTTTTCTTTTTGAACGATAAAATATATTATGGATTGATGATCGAATATAAAATTTAGACAAGTTAAAAATGACGAAAATATTGATTTTGTTCTGTATAAATATCAATTGATGCAAATTTAACTCAGCAATACATAAAGGAATAATTAGTATCAAGGCTTTTGTACTCTATATTATTTTGATAACTTTAGAGATAATTATAGAATTCTACATAATTGTATAAATAGTTCATCTATTAAATTTTCATTTGGACTTCAATAAAATTAGTTTTGAATTACTTTACAACTAATTCAGTAGAAATCACTGTTACTTTCCTCATAGCTACGCCAATTGAATGAAATAGTAGTACTTATTTCATTTGTTTTTCTCATGATTCAATATATCACTACGGTCCAAAACAAAGAAACAAACCAATCAGAATATTTGGTCATCATACTATTTCATAAGCTGAATAAGACAAACTGGAAATATTAATTATTCAAAATGTAATCAATATCAATAGATATTGAACAAGAAAGTATTAATAATATATTTGAAAGTTTTGACTTGATGAAAAGCGTATTTGTCATTGAGTAAATGTCACTCCAGCTGAGCTAAACTTTATGAGCACATGCATTTTCGATTCCTTTCAATTGTTAAATGAGTTAAAATTTTCTGAATGTTTTAGTTTAACTATGAGAAATTCTCATTTGGAATACTTACTTGTCTTGATCATACGCTCATTTGTTTACTTGAATCGAAACTATTCGACCATTGATTTTCTAATAAATGAATTGGATGGTTAATTTTTTTGTTAAATATTTATTAGGTTCTGGATTGAATTAAAAACTCAATCATTTCTTTGCTTTATGAAAACCACTAAAATTTAAATATATATAAATATATTTATTCAATATTAATTAATTAAAAAATAAAAAGGAAAACTTTCAAACAACTGTTTAAGTGCTAAATCTAATAAATTTAGACAACTAGTTGAACGCCAACCTGAATCAATATCTGAATTTTCAAGTGATGTTTGAATAAGTGAAGACTAAAATAAAAATCCAACATTACAGTTTTTTTTAATTTACTTTATCAAGTAAATATTGATCAATCAAAAATCGCTTTAGTTAACTGGTAAAGTTCACCGGTTTTATTATTTCCATGACGTTGAAATCGATGATAATGAAGATACGTGCATGACCATCAATTAAACGAAGTATTTCAAATTGCTCAGTTTCTTTAATTAGAATAATTTCATTTGAATAAAAATAGAGATTGTATCAGTGCAGCTTGTTGAAGACTATAGTGGAGAACTTACATATGTTCTTTAGCCTCATTATACTCATACAAAACATTTGAAATCAAAAACTTTCTACCAGATTATAAAGGAATGCATGAGAAATTAAATTTTACCCGTTTTTACTTTTAAAGTTACTATGATTTTCATATTTTTAACTATATAACTTTTACTGACAGTTGATATAACTGCTTTTCTCATAGTTCCAAGTAGAACTCGTTGAGTACGGATCTGATTTCATAGTTGGTGATGACCAGCTAATAGTCACCCTCGGATGTAGAGGGTTCAAAATGAAACGTAAAAGAAATCCGACATGCAAGTTGAAAGGTCATTATCAATAGTCTTTAAAACAGATGTTGCTAGTTCTTGGGCATCTGCTTGTTGTCCAATACAAGCGTCTTTTGTGTTTTGAGTGATTCTCTCCCTAAACAATTGATCGACCTATGGTGTATAATATGTTGTCAAAAGTATCAACGAATATGTCGAATACAAATGAATTTTATATTGATCGGCAGAAAAACTTTGCTCTTTCCGGATATCCTCTTTACATAATGTTCGAATAGTGTCTGAAACACGATAATGCACTCACAAACCATCTGCATTTTTAATGAAATTTCGAAACGAAACTGGCTCATAAGTTATTTTTCTCGCATATATTGACAACTTTCGAAACAAAAACGACACAGCCAGGTAGAACTCAACGAACTCTATCGAATACACTAAAAAATTGCAGTATTTCTACACTATTCAATGTTTACTACTTTTCGTCTTCACAAACATAAATATATTTGTATATATTCTGCTTTTGTTCTTAAAGAAAGTGCAACTTTTTTGAAAAAAGACAAAAATTCCGTAACGGATGATGTATTTAAACTCCTATTTGACACAGACATTTATACTAAAAAATGGCTTGATATTCTGGAAGCTCATTAACAACCGTACAACTTTTGTCAAGAGTATTTATTTGTACGACATTTCATTTCGCAGCGAAGTGAAAAACTTCTATTTCATCTAAAACAAAAAAAGCATCCATTTTTTGAAATTCTCTAACGGTTGGTGTTGTGTAAATAACTCATCTCTGACTTAACAGAACTCAATAAACTTCTAACTTATATAAGATCTCGATGATCTCTATTCATGATAAAAATTTCGTTCCGTTTGCTCTTGTCGATATGGAGATATAGGTTGAACAAGGGTAAAAAAATGAAATTCCACAACGCTTGACCATGCCCAGTTGTTACTCTTAAGGTAGAAATCTATAATGATCGCATTCATAACATGAGAAATGTGAAATAAATTATAATGAAAATATGATGAGTAAGAATTCGGTAAACTTCCAGATTTTCATCCCGCATATCTCTAAAACTTACGCTCATTCTATTTTTCTTCGAAACAAAAATCGTAATGTAAGTTCTACAGAAAAACAAAAACAATCAATAATTTTACCATCAATTGTTAATGATAATGGATTAATATCAAATAAACTTTGAATATCCCTTAATTGAATAAGTGCAATATGTTTTCATATCGGGTGTTTTTCTCATATATTCAAGACAATCGAAGAAAAACAACAGCTAAATATGTTCATATTGTTGTTAATTCTTGTGGAAGTTCAATAACTTGAAATTTTTCTATTTAATCATAATGCACAGCAAGGAACTCTGACTAAAATTTAACAACAACAACAACAACAAAACATACTTAATACTGTTGGAATCGTTTTCTTACTCGATAATTATCAATACTATTAATCCAATGAATCAATTAATAATTAATAATCAATATATACTATTGATGTATATTTAAGTAAACGTTGAATAGATCGTATCATTAAATGCAGCTAAATGTTGTTTACCTAAATCAGTTTTGTGTTCACGAATCTATTTGAAATATTTTTTTTAATATTATGTATTCAATGAAATACAATTACGTTAAGATAAACATAAAAACGAGGATTAATTTTTTTTTATCTCACGTATGAATCTCTTCCATTGTTTTAGCAGAAAATTTTCTAAAATCTATTAGAAAAAAATAAAAGTTATATGAAAAACAATATTGGAATTGATTACTAAAAAATAGTTCGTTCGAAAATGAAAGTAATGGTGTGTACAGATGAGTTAATGTAATGCAACGAAATTAAACTAGTTCATTACTGTTGCAATCAAAATTCCACAACAGTGTCCAACAGTCTAGTGTGAAAAGAATTCCATAATTGTCTATGAAAACTGAAACCGCCAAATGTATCAAATCTTGTTAAGCTCGATATTGTTTTTCTAATCGTTTTATTCAACTGATAAACAAGCAGAAAAGAATTTATGCATTCTTTTTGAAAACTATTGTTTGATTGTTGAGAAGCGAGTTCATATTCAGACTTTACTATCGTATCGAACAATCAGACAATGTGTGTAGAAAAAGTATACATAGATTTTTTCTTCAGTATATGACGAGTAAAATCTTTGAAAAATATTGAACCTTTGGGACTAGATCATTTTATAATATTTTGTTTTTTTACAACTCTAATTTTTGTCATAATAACATTGTTCGAATCTATTAACAACAGAATATTTTCACAAGTAACTCAACAGACTTTATAAGTTTTTTAACTAGTAAAATATATTTCATTGAATAATTATCTGACTCGAGTAATATTTAATAATATTGTAATTAAGATTAATTTCCTTCGATTTCTCTTAATTCCATTCTAAAAAAATAATAATTATTTTTTTTAAATATTTTGTTCTCTATGACAATATTATCATCTAATACATTCTTATTTTTATTAATATTAAAACGTTTCCAAATTTGGTGTAGTATTAATTTATTCATGTACATGTAAATGTTTATCTTCACATTTTTGTTTAATAGTTGTATTTAATAACGAATCAAGTAATAGACTATCATCATATGTTGATAGTGGAAGTAATAATAACAAAAAATCTAACAGTATTGTTGTTGTTTGATTATTAATTAAATTAACTGTATATATAGATTCATCAGCGTTACCCATCCATTAAACATAAACGTTTCCAAAAACCACTAAAAACAATGTTATACATGTATATTAGCTTAATCTTTTTTTTTTCTTTGTTGATGAATACATGCTTATACATGAACAATATATTGTCGATCTTGACATGTATAGAACAGATATGTGGATATAAATAAAGTTGTATCCAGAAGAATAATATATGTTGTTTCATTTATTTCGGTTGTTATTAATCCATTTAATGAAGAAAGTTTTTAAGTTAGGCGAAGAATAATTGAATAGAAAATCTTTTTATCTAAAATTTTATCGATAACTTAGATTTTTTCGATAGTTTATGATATCAAATCGACTTTTGAATATTAAGTATCTTAACAAAGAACCGATAGTTTTAGCTGAAATATGTTCTATTTAATTTTCCCACTAATATTTAATCGGTTAAAAATTCATAAAGAACGATCGTAACTTGACTTCGGACGCGTATAACAGTTTGTGCGACGTAATATTTTATATAACAAATAAGATTAATAAATAAATGACGATAGGTAACTGTTGTAGTTGATTATCATTAATCATAGTAAACAAATAAAAATAAAATAAGATTATATAATGGTTTAGCACGATATATTTAAATTTCGTTTCGTTCCATATAAAATGCTGTCTAAAAAATTTATAAACAAATCATTATATATGTTAATGTCGAATAAGAAAACAGAAAATTCCTTACAAGATATTTTTCACAGATATTTCCATATGAAATAACATGTGTTACTTGACCACGTTAATTTTTTTCAAATAGATCCATCAAGATAACAAATAAAATCACTGACCTCTGTCTATATAACAAGAAAAAAAATTATTCAACAAAATACATGACGGTTGAAGATAAATGTTGATAGTATGAAGGTCGATTTCTTCTTAATATAGAGATAGCCTTTTTTTTCCTGTACATGATAAAAGAAGTTCAGACCTAATTCTATAAATACCTTCATTTTTTTTAAATATTAAAATAAACAATCAGCAAACAAATTTACAATCGAACGATGTCATAGACGTTGAGATAATAAAATTTTTGTTCCGGTTAATGTATATATTATTTGTTGTTCATCACCAAAACATTCATATACCAAATAATCTTCAAGTAATGATTGGAATCAGTGATTTGAACAAGCAGAACCGGTGAAACAAAATATGTAATTCCTTCAAATAAAAAAAAGAAATATATTTAAAATAAAAACAACACATCATATGACAACATACCTTACATGTAAATGTATGTTCCTCTACTCTGTACATCCACTGAACATGTGAGAGAGAGAGAGGAAAGAAAAACGAAACAGATCAAGTGAGGAATTTTCTTTTTTTCTTCGCTCGCCCATAAGCCATTGTTCATGTTATCATTGATGATCAATAATAATATGTTAAATTAAAGTGTGAAAAAATTAAGCTTTATCCACACATATACATTGAGATATTTGTGAATGAATTTATCTCAATATATGTGTGTGTCTAGATTAAAGCTTAATTATATACGTCTATTAATCACACACTAAAAAAAAAAATAATTGAATTTTTCTCTCAATAACTTTTTCGGGAGTATATATATGAATGATTGTCTATGTAAAATCATTCAATTTATTGAATCAAATAATAAAAATTTTTCTTTATGTTTTAGATCAATATCGACGATACAAAACAATACAATACAATACAATACAGTACAATACAATAAAAAAAGTGTAGGTATTAGTTTTAATCAAGGGGGAAACAGCAGAGACTTCAGTCGTGAAGTCCCATGAAATCTTGAAAGTCTTTCGAAGTCTTCTGAAGTCTCTTTGAAGTCCTATGAATTCTCATAAATTCTCATAAAGTCTCTTGAAGTCTCTGAAATCTCATAAAGTCTTCTGAAGTCTCATAAAGTCTAATGAAGTCTTATGAAGTCTCATGAAGTCTAATGAAGTCTCACGAAGTCTCATGAAGTCTAATAAAGTCTCATGAAGTCTCATGAAGTCTCATGAAGTCTCATGAAGTCTCATGAAGTCTCTTGAATTCTAATGAAGTCTCATGAAGTCTTATGAAGTCTCATGAAGTCTCTTGAAGTCTCTTGAAGTCTTTTGAAGTCTTTTGAAGTCTCATGAATTCTTATGGAAGTTTTGAAATACATTTAGTGCATGAAAATTCATAAACAAGCAATGAAATTGTCTTGCTTTCGACGGTCTTATTTTAGCAGAAAGGTGAACTTTTTATTGTTTGTTTGTCAAGGTACTGGAAAAAATTCAAGTTTGTTGGATCTTAGAAAACATGATAGTTAAGAACTGAATGCTTTTTGAATGAAGTGGTTTATTTCTATAAGAAATGTTTCATTTATTCGATGTCAATCTTATGAAGAATTTTATTCCTTTTTGTTTATTTCTATCACTCGTGATAATCTATCAGCCGATAAACGGCTAGCTTCGTCGGTCAATAACCAACAAGTCGTTTGCTTGTGTATAAATTTAGTCTTGTTATTTATTTGCACCTGAAAATAGGAGTTTTCCAATGCTGGATTAATCAAATCAAACATACGCATACCAGTAAAGTTTATTTTCTCTGTTTTAATTTCATCAACGCTTTGTGTCATTGTCACATCTTTATTCTAGATATGGATATACTGCGAGAAACAATTCTCAGAAACAAGAAACACTTTTGTAATCTCTATATGATAAGTTTTGTTTTTTGCATGTTATAGAAGTTTCATGTAATTTCTATAAGGTGTTTTGATACGCATGGAATCTGCTTCTTGAAGTCCTGTGAAGTCTTGTGAAGTCTTGTGAAGTCTCATGAAGTCTAATGAAGTCTCATAAAGCCTCATGAAGTCCCTTGAAGTCTCTTGAATTCTAATGAATTCTAATGAAGTCTCATGAAGTCTCATGAAGTCTCATGAAGTCTCATGAAGTCTCTTGAAGTCTCTTGAAGTCTTGTGAAGTCTCTTGAAGTCTTGTGAAGTTTTATGAAGTCTTGTGAAGTCTTATGAAGTCTTATGAAGTCTTATGAAGTCTTATAAAGTCTCAAGAAGTCCTACAAAGTCTCTGAAGTCTCATGAAATCCGTGAAGTCTCATGAAGTCCGTGAAGTCTCACGAAGTCTGTGAAGTCTAACGAAGTCCCATGAAGTCCCATGAAGTCTCATGAAGTCTCATGAACTCATACGAAGTCTTATAAAGTCTTGTGAAGTCATTTGGAGTCCTATGAAGTCTTCAGAAGTCTTTAGAACTCTTTTGAAGTCTTGTGAAAATATGAAGTCACTGCGGTTGAAGTCTTTTGAAGTCTTTTGAAGTCTTTTGAAGTCTTTTGAAGTCTTGAAGTCTTGAAGTCCGCTGTTTCCCCCTTGGTTTTAATCTTCTTTTTTTTTCCTTTGGATCATATGGAGAGTGGTAAGTCTCCCATTGATCTATTTTATGTTTTGTTTTTTTATTTTAGCTATTAAATAATCGAAGTAAATAAAAACTTTTTTAATTAGTATTTTTTTTTCTTTTCTTTTAGGTCCAGTTGGATAAACTAAAGTAAGTAGAAATTTTTTATTTAATGTATTCTTTTTTCTAATTTTAGGTAATGGAAAGTCACTAGGAGGGATAACAGTAGGGTAAGTTATTCTCCTCTTTTCTAAACATATATGATTAAATAAAATTTTTTCTTTTTCTTTTTAGTCTCTCATCGCGTCGCGTCCTCAATAACAACATCGTCGTCCAACATCAAAACAGAGTAAGTATTTTTTTTTTGAGAAAGAGGATAGAGTGAGAGGGAGGATAAGGTTAGATAGTGATATTGAGATTGAGGAGGGTGAGGATGAGACTAAGAAAAGTGAGTATTAGTGAGAGACGAGAGTGAGTTCTGTCCGTTGAGGGTTATGGTTTCGTCTCTTATGAAGGACTTCCGGGTAGTCCCTAAAAGCTCGGCCAGGAACTGTCTTGGTGTCCGTGGCACACGACCAGGCTTATTCAGACTCATTGACATATCTCTCGCTGGGAGGGTATGAATGATTTGAGTCTGTCCTGTGCGTGCATGAGCGTTACGCTCGCCACGGCTCCACCAGGATGATTCCTGGTCGCGCGCGCGCGAATAGAATAAGCCATTCATTTCATCAATCCAATGCGATTTATTTGAAACGAAAGGAACGCAAAAAATATAATCCATCGTAATGAGTCTATTCGATTGAAAAGCGTTGAACACGATTATTATTACTATCGGCGACGTAGAGATTGCCATGTCGATCGAAGGACAAACCGACAGGAAGATTCAACTGGCCATTTCCACCCACAATGACAGTGCCCTGTTTCGCTCCTTTAGGCCAACGCATCACTCGAGAATTCCCATAATCTGCCACATAGATGGTACCCAATGTATCGACGAACAATCCTTGAGGTTGCGACAATTGTGTCAGAGCATTCTCTTCACTTTGATCTCCAGCGACGACAATTCCTTCTTTTGCACCTTTATTCCATTTCATTACACGATGATTGCCCTCTTCTGACACGTAGACAGTCTGTTGTTGATCGACAAAGATGTAGGTCGGATAGTTGAGTTGATTGAGACTAGCACCTTTGCCATTGCCACCAGCTACAATAGTTCCATGCTTGTCTCCTATTTGATATCGGCTTACTTCATACTTGTCGACGTCAGAAATGTAGAGATATCTCTGATAATCCATGGCCAATCTTGAACAAGCGATGTTGTCGATGAGGATTTCTCCTTGAGTTGTCCCACTACGACGAGACCATCGTACGACTCGTCGATTTCCCCAATCACAAATAATGAGACTATCTGTCTCTTTGTCGATCAACATATAGGTTGGACCATTCAATTGATCCAATCGATTTCCTTTGCCATTACCACCAGCTACTACTTGTCTATTCGTATCACCCATCTTCCATTGGATGATACGATGATTGCCGAAGTCAGCGATGACTATCGCTTGATCATCATCAACGAAGAGATCATAAGGCCAGTAGAGTTGATTGGTGGCACTGCCTTGTCCATGGCCTCCAGCAACAGTCACTCCATTCTGTGCCCATCGAGCATCGACTGGAATATTAGGAATTACTACAATGAAGGAAAAAGAAAAGAAATCGTCGTTATCGAAGGGATCCCGTCTCTCGTGAGAGCGAGCGCTACAAAATATGACATTCGTCTTTGAAAATGCTCGTTTCGCAGATAAAAATTCAGAAGTCTTTTCCTAGTTTCTTATGAGAAAAAAAAGGATTCGGTAACGATTCTTACATCTATGTTACTTCTAGTTCTTGCCAAGATCTTTTTGAGCATAAAAATAACACCTTGAGATTGCTGTAAGGAGGTTCTCCAAGAAAGAGTAATACTAATTCCATGTAAGTTTTTGACAGAAAAACATAAGGATCTGAGGATTTTATTCAGAATTGCAAGAATTCAGAATCTTTTTGTAGGATGATCATTTATATGAATATCAGAGAAGAATTTAAGTAATGAAATAATGAACTATGTGAAACTCCTAAACTGAGAAAATTCTGAGAAGATTCTATCTATATCTTGTTAGGAGCATGTTGAACAACAAATGTCAAACATAATTTTGTATGGTTTTGTAGAACTTTAAGGATTCAGTATGTATCTTTGAGAATGCTTTTCGCATCATTTTCTGAATGATGAATGCAGATCTGCCGAAGTATCTCTTAAGCATTTGCATAGAGTATGCCGGTGAGATTTCACTAAATTTTTGTCAACTTGTATCAATTCAGGTCAAAAAATCAGATATAAGATCTTGTGGACCAAACGAAACTGTATGAAAAAATGTACGAAAAATCGCAGTCTTAGAGATCTTATTTTATATCGTATTATAAGATTCTTGAAAGATCTTACTAGCTTGTAAGATATCACTATAAGATTATAGCAAATCTCATGCGATGGTAAGATCTTTCAAGAATCTTATCTCAGATCAAAACAATGGATGTCAGATCGTAGCAGGTCTTATAAGATCCTGTATGATCTGTCGTGTTGTTTTATTCGAGAATTGTTGATTCAATAGTTTCTATTATAAAGAAATGTACAAAATAGATAAAATTGTCTTGCGCAAGTCAATGTTTTCTATTAATGGAATCGTAAAATCATATTTGATTTCACAAATAAATGCTTTGTATAATAGATTAGTCAAAGTGCAGATATATCTCGGAAATTTTCACATAATATAGAACGTTTTTCTTCACAAAATATTTCGACAGAAAAAATATCGATGTCGAAATTTTCCTAAGACTATCAGGAGATGAAAAATAATTTTTTTTTCTATATATCTTCTACTATATACTGGAACATATATTTTTTTTATTCCTTATTTTTCTATATTGATAATATAGAAAATAATACATTAATTAATTTTTTTCTACTATATGCCTGGCAATATTTTTCTATTTGTTATTTGTCTATATATATATAATATAGAAAACGATATAATATTTGATTTACTCAAAACTATGTGCTTGTATATTAATGTTTTATTTCTTATTTATGTATCTTGATAATATAGAGAATATTATATTATTTAACTTTTATACTACTATATGCTTAGGCATCTATTTGTATTTTCTTTATAGCGAATATATAGAAAATAATTTTTTATCTGTTATTGTCCTATATTGATAATAAAAAGTAATTTATTTTATTTGTCATCTTTCTATATAGAGTAAGCAGGAGTAAATATAGAAGACAATGCAATGGTTTTCAGCAAAATGACTACAACTTTTTTAGTTTTCTTTTTAAATTTTCTTCATAAAACACCAATCTGCTATCATACTCTATCGATTGGTAAAAAACTTTTCTCAAAATCTTATAAGCACACTTATTTACAAGGTATTCTTTGAACAGTAGTTTTCGATTATACATTTACCCTGTTTAGATAAAATGTATAATCTCGCTGATGTCATTGAGAGAATGTATAATACCAGACATTTTTGATATATTTTTTAAATCCTAATTTTTCAACGATTGGTACTTGTTTTCTTTTTCTGATTGTTTTTATTAATCGATTGCTTAAAGTTTTCTCTATAAAACTGTATACATTTACCTCATATGGAATAATTGTATAATCGTCCTTGTACTTGTGGAATAAATGTATAATCTCATCAAATTTAGTCGGGCACACTAAAACTCAACTTTTATCAAATCTATGAAGAATTTAGAAGCGCTCTTAATACTAAAATTGTTCAATAGGATGAGCTTAATAACTCTAAAGCATTTCGAAAATAGATTTTAAATTTTCATTTATACTTTTGTCTGTTATGCGTCAATGATAGATCAAATTGGTGCTGAAAATGATTATTTTTCGTGTAAATTTCACCAAAACTATGATTTATATGGTTATTTATATGCATCGAAAAAAAAAAGGTTAAAATCTTTTTTTTTCATTGTTATGCTCTACTTTAGAACAAAAATTTTTCTAATCTATTACAAATTTTAATTAGTTTAATTGTTGATTCGGCTTCAATATTATTAACCAAATTTGATAAAGTCCAACGATGACATACATGTGGATCATTGTTGCTTAAAAGACAATCTATAATGATGATCTACGATATCCTATGATGAGATGATATCCCTTTCGTTTCTCTAGTGCTGCAGGAGTACTAAATATCATTTTGAGAGAAGCTTTTCTGTCAATAAAAAAAGATGATATTTCTTCCTTGTAAAACATGAACTAATGTATTCGAAGAAGAACACATCTGACGCATAACTAGTTACTCTACTAAAGTCCAGTAATGTTGACGTTGTTGATGAATTCAAGGAAACTATATTACAAATTTCATGTTAATGCTGCAAATTTATTGACATTAGTGTTTCAGATTTCAAGTTTCTTTAATTTATAGTATTCTCTCTTCATTTGATGGTGCTTTCGAAATTAGAATAACGATATTTCAGTGGATAAAATAACAAGTATCAATCAAATCCATCGTAAACCTAGTTTTATTAGATAGTTATCAATTCAGAATTTTCATTTAATACTTTGACTTTTCAAATTCATATTAGATCAGCATAAAATATATCAGTATGTTGATAGGATTTTAGTAAGATCATAAGAAGGTTTGTATGCGTGCGAAATTTAAGAAACTTGACAGGATTCCACGTGGATACCTAGAGTCTGACGCTCTCTACAGTTAAAATGGTGATAAGTCTAATACTAATCCTATCCAGGTTTTCCACAGGAAAAGATAAGGATTTAGGTAGCTTTCTACAGACACAAGCTGAGGACATTCTTTTTGTGACTTGAAAATCAGGAACCTACTCAGAGAGGTCAAAAGAGTAACGGTAAGATATTATCAGATTTTCGAACAAATCTGCTACAAATAATCGTGTGAAAATTTTAGAACGATTTCTATGAACTCGAGACCATGATCTTAGCTACAAAATAAAGCACAATGTTAGAAACCAAAACTGAAAAATGCTCATATTTTATCTACATCTTATTAGAATGCTGATGCTAAATATTTGAGCTAATATGGGTGTGGGTGGGCATGAGTATTCCTATTCTTCATTTTCACCTATACCCACATCGCACCGTATAATAAGTCATTTTTTTACAAGATGGCAACAATATTGATATAACTAAAAATTCATCTAAATTATATTTCAAGTACTGTAGATCTATAGAATCTGTTATTGTTCTCTCCATGGATGTATTCAATTCAAAAAAAATCGAATGTTTACTAACATTCAAAGATATACAATAAAAATTATTCTACGTTTACGATTACGAGGTTCATTGAACTATTGCATGTTCTATATATAAAGATTGTTTCATAGGTGTTCTGTCATTTTGAGTGTTTTTTTTCTATTGTGTTGCATATATAGAAGTTGAACAGAAATACCAAATATATATATTCGGAATGTCTGAACTATTATCCAAAATTTACATTACTTTCAATTGACATTATTATTAAGAAAAAACATTATTAGAAAACATGCACAAATCTTTTTATCGATTTTATCTTCTACGCTTGTTTTTTCTTACGATGAGAGGTTCATATGATTCATTTTTGTCCTTTTATGTTCTTATGGTTTGTGTTTTACATGGCTAAGATAAGAATATAATGACAGATTTCATAAAATTTATTAGTAATACTTTTACTAATCATCTACCTTCTTAATATAGATATTATTTTATCTGTGTTGATGTGAATAGAAAAACAAAAAGAAAAAAGAAAAAAACCTATTTTGCTCTAAACAACTAATGGAAAGATGAAAGATCTACCACCTAGATTAATTCTTGACTGACAATAAGTTGCTCAAGAAAAAAATCAGTTATCACGTACTATAAGTGAAAGAGAAAAAAATGACACTATTTATACAAAGAATCGATGATAAGATCAACAATCCACCAAAAACGAATTAGAATATTAATCGAAATAATATAGAGATAAACAAAATATTGGGTTGATAAGAAATTTTTTGCGTTTTTTTTCAAAATTTCCTAGAACAGTCGAGAAAGTTCTAAAAGGTTCCATACTAACGGTATATAAAGGGGGTACGAGTATCTTTCGAACGATAACAAAATTAAGAATATGGACGTTGATCTCGCATTAGAAATGAAGATATCTCGACGAGAGCTAAGTGTGCTTCTGCTTCATGACTTCTGTTTGGATCGTAAAGCAACGGAAACAACAAGCAATATATGCAGCACGATGGGCAAGGACGCAGTTTCCATTCGTACAGTGCAACACTGGTTCCATCGGTTCAAGAACGGCAACTTCGAACTCGACGATTTACCTCATACCGGAAGACCACTACAGGTGGATATGGATGTATTAAAGCAGCTTATTGAAGAAGATCCTAGACTGACTACACGGTGTTTAGCAGAGCGACTTGGGTGCTCTCATATTATAGTGGAAACACATCTGCACGAATTAGGCA